TTCATGATACGTTTAATTTTAAACTTAAAACAACAAAAAATGAACAAAGAAACACTTCATAGTTTAGTACCCCGGAGTTAGACGCCTATCTTATCGAAATTATCACTGAAAAGATAATGAAATGTTGATTAAATTTTTTTGTTTTCAAAAATTTTGATTTAATAAAATGCTCCATTAATAAATTTGAATACGCTCACACTGTTGGTAAAAAATATTCATTTGGTTCACATTTGTTTATTTTTTATTGTTTCTTTTAATTTTATATGTATTGAGTTTAACTTGTTTTTGAGTTCAACTTCCTTATCTATCTCAAACAAAACATTAAGTGAGAGCTATCACGTAAGTTATTCTAGACAGCGCGGGAATGTCGCCGTTTCTTCCGTGATTCTGTTATCATTACAGTTGGAATACAATTGATTATTACTCAATTTTGAACCGTAGTAGCTGGATTACTCCTATAGTCAACAGAGTCGATTACAAGGACCTCCGCATGTTTGTAACATCAGGAGAAATATCTTGAGTCTTCCGAAGGTCGTAGTCAGAAGGAGGAACAATGATTTAAAAGGGAACAATTAATTTTTGGCTGGATACTGAACTGAAATCTATATAATAATAATATTAAATATCTTTTTAATTTATTTTAGAAAAGGAAATTATCGAAGTCTAAGTATGCAGAAAAATATGAGAGAAAATATCTGATAACCATAAAAACCCAAGATAATCCATGAATACAATTTTAGTGAAATGAGGCGATAACTTTAATCAATAATTGATAACCCATGAACTTTCCAAAACGCCTCTTTTGATTGCTAATTTAGCTGACTTTTTTAACAATAAAATCTTCCTATGCAATTATATGGAATTAATTCTATCACTTAAAAACAAAAAAATAAATAAATAAAAGATGGAAATGAATAGTGTAAACGTCTTTATGAGTTCGGCTAACAATACTTACACAAATACATTCTACAGATAAAAAGCAACAATTTGAAAAAAAAAAAAAAAATACCGTATCTGATGTTTTTAAGTTGTTTCCTGGTGTTTCCTTGTGAAGTTATCATATCGATAGTATACTTGTAAACCTCCGGATTCAAAAGACTGCGAAGTTAGGTTTAAGTGTTCACTTCAGCAAATCTATTTTCAGAGGCTTCATTGAAGGAAAGATTCTCTTTGTAATAACTTGAGACCTGATTTCCATGTTATTGCACATTGCGTTTGCTTGTAAAAACCCTGGACTTGAATATCTATCCGTTTTAGGACCTGTAGAATAACATATTTAAATTTTATATTGCACGAAATTGCACGTTTTGTTAATGCTCAATTTTGATTTTTGTTGCATTAAATTGCACATTTTTGGCTAGATGATGATGGTCTATATTAAATTTACAATTTAAGAAAGAAAAATACGAGGAAGATAAATGATTCTATGACTGGTAAAGATTCGAAGTTAACGTTACAAATGAACGAAGTAAACACAAGTGCAGACAGACTAATCGTGGAATAGAACTTGAGGTAATTCAATTAAGAAAACAGCCTTCTTTGTTTTGACTTGAATTCTCGCTCTTTCTTAAGTCCTTCAGTATCTATTTCGGCTTTGAATTGAATCGTAGACCATCAATAATATTCGATTTGACATTCATAAACTCACATTTGTCAGATTTCCGCAAAAATTAACTCAGTTAGAATCTCGAAATTTGTCACTTAATAAACAAATTGAAATTATGGAAACTGTAGGAGAAAATCTTTTAAAAAATCAATAGTGAAATAAGAAAAATTTTACTCCGTATTAGAAACAGATACAGGTCACGCTCTTATATAAAAATATAAGGACTGCATTAACTGTATAAATGTTGATGTTAACAAAGAATCAGCAATAGTTAATTGTTACGAAATGAGTCCCCTTACATCAGTTCATGTTGAACGCTCTTTTTCCCAATTAAAGAACTTAACTAGTAAGCGATAAGGGAAACAATTTGTCAGAAACTAATTTCGAAATGTATAATATTGTAAATTTCAAATCGTTACAAAATGAACTTTTCAATATAATGCGGACAATTTATAATTATGCATGTACATATATTATTTTTAATTAAAATTAAATATCTGAAATCAATTGGTCTCGTCTATATAGGATATACTTATCCTTCATATCATTAATCTTTTTAAGTACCTCTACATTACTTCATTCCATGTATGCGCCAGTCAATTAAACAATTTAAGGAAAATTTAAACTAATATATTTAATTATTTGTCTGTTAATTATTGAAATTTTTTGGTATTTGTTTTTGAATTATTTTTATATTTTATATTATTTATGTAAGTCATTATTTTTTTTTTATTTCTCTTTCTTCAAGATTTAGGTTAATCGTAATTTATTGTTGCATTATATTATGTATTATCGTTAGTAGATTGTAATATGATTTTTAATATTTCATTTTAATTTTTTTTTGTGATACAATATTTTAATTCAGAAGCTTGACATAAGGTTTGACAGGATTGCGATGTATTAATATTATAAATTGAACAAAATAGATGATTTTTGCGAGTTTTTAGGTGTAATTTAGATAATTTTATATAGAATATTCAATAGTTGACCGTTGCATTATAAAGGAAGGAGATGGTCCGGGGTGGCGGTCATAAATAGGCTAAATAGTGGCAAAACTATTTTATTAAAAGCCAATGTTTCGACCCGACTTTGCAGGTCTTCTTCAGGGAGGTGTATTCAGCTAGGAGTCTCACTTAGAATTCTAGCCAGTTTTAAGTGAAACTCCTAGCTGTACGCACCTCCCTGAAGAAGACCTACAAAATCGGGTCGAAACGTTGGCTTTAAATAAAATAGTTTTGCCACTATTTAGCCTATTTATGAACGCCACCCCGGACCATCTCCTTCCTTTATAATTTTATATACTTTGCGTATTGAGTTTTTTGGTGCACAATTTTCGGATTTTTACTGCACGAAGATAAGGCCTCTAGTAATAACACAGTACTGGAGACACCAATGATTTATTTTTATACTGGTAGTAAATAATAGGTTAAGTGTTATTTTTATACATAAGATTGCTAACTCAAAATGCTTTCCTTTACTTTAAGCAGCTTCTTATAATGCATAAGAAGATAATTGCGACTTTATTTTTTTTTAATTAGAATTCATTTTTTTTTAAAACATCATTTAAAATGAATTTCCTTTTTTTAATGCTATCTCGTGAAGTGAAAATAACACAAAATAATGAAAAACAGATGTATAAGCAACCAAGCAGCAGTTTGGTTGGGTGAAGAAGAATAATATTGATGTTAAAGAAACGTAACCCATATTTACGAAACCTGCAAAGCCAAAACCAGGAAGAACAAAAAATTATATTAAATTAAAATGGTTTCTTTTTAGCACATATTCTGTCAATTGATTTCCTGCCCCTTCCCTCATACAGTTGGCCTGACACTTCTTCGCTTTCTGATTAAATGAAATTAATGAATAAATAAATTAAATGAAATAAATAAATTTCATATATTATACATATATATATATATATATATATATATATATATATTTTTTTTTTTTAAATTTACTTTCTTCTTTTGGAAGTAAGATAGTATTTGATTTTTATTGATAAAATCTATGAAATAATAATTTGTTTCCAGTTAGAATTTTCACTTAGCTTTGTCAGTAACCAAACAAATCACACTGTATAATAAATTTATAACAATAAAATTCCATTTTACATTTAAGAAAATGAAACTCCATCAATGAACCAAAAATTATTTAAATGTACATGTACCTAAACATAGCTGACTTGTTTGAAGAAAGTCATTGAATATTGTTATATTTCATACATATATTAAAAATAGTAGTAAATAATTGGTAATTTACAACCTCCAAAAAGTGAATTATTAAAGAATTTCAGGACTACAGTGCGAATTGTTACCAGCTGAACTATCCTTTTAAGTGCCTGACCTGTATAACATCTAATTCTTAATTAAAATCAAGGTTAAAAAAGCACGTCATGAACTCCGATGACAAAATGGTAATTGATGGCAAACCTCATTACAAACCGGGAGCTAGGAGAACTTCGCTCAAACGTGCTCGGTCCATCATAGATGAAAAAATAAAACACAAAGACCCATACAGTAAATATATACTACAATGTAGGAAACCAGATTAGAGTATGTACATATATGTACATAGAATTATGTACATATATGTACATAGAATTAGAATATGTACATAGAATTAGAATATGTACATAGAATATGTACATTTTTTTTTTTTATGACACATCCCCGCACAGGCGGATCTACCGGGGAGGGAGGCTTTCGAGCTGAAGTCTCCCCTCCCCCCAAAATGGTAAAATATAATCATGCATTACAGAAAAAAATATTAAAAAATATCTCTTAAAGTATTCTTGTTCGTTTAATTACAATTAATAGGACTTCAAGAACCACTTAAACACCATTTCATATAGGTAGTTAATTTCTTTCTTTTTTTTTCAAATTAATTATCGTTATATGCATATAAAAAAAAATCTTTCGGGCTGAAGCCCCCCTTTCCAAAATTAAATCCTGGATCCGTTAGTGCATCCCCTTAATTTCGAGAAATCACGACATGGTTATCAGTTTTTCGAAATTAAAATTATTTTTTCAAGGGTTAATAAAGCTAAGAAAAAGTTATCTTAAAATGGATTACTTTTATCAAGAGCGATTATTATAATTTGAAAGTTGGTTTATACCTTGTATCTACAGCCAAAAATAATAAAAAAATACAAGAAAGAATTTTTGAGTTATGTTAATGATAATATTTCGTTTTATAATAATTATTTACAATGGGTGTCATTCCTGGTTCAGAGTCCCATTTAGTAATGTCTTATTATCTTGCGTAAATATTCTACGCCATTCGACTTATTGGGTTGACGTTTTTTCGTTGGACCTTGATAAATCTTAAGCAGCTACTGATCCTCTTTGTGCTCAAATATGTAATGGTATAACCATATACGTAGGTTGCAATTATTGTTATCTTTTAATCAGCTCTGCTGAAACGTCGCCTGTAACAATAATCGTTTCACTTTTTTTATTATGCTCAGATAGCGTTCCGTTTCTTTGTATGTGTAGTTATTAAGTTTTTTGTAGACCATTTATTTTCTAATTTTTGTTAATATATAATGTTAAAATGTTGCTGAATACAGCTATTAGAAGCAGGCCATTCAGAGAAAATTTTAGATACAGATCTTCATTTTCAGGTAATGATTATAACTGTTATGTAATTAGATAATGGAAGGGCAGATAAGTGGGGTTATCAGTGCAGTTATTGACTAGGCTAAAACCAGAGGGAATCTTTTTTGGCAACAGACCATCAGCTAGTCAAGATGGAACTGAAAGCTTCCTCACTTTTGTCATTTAAAAATTTGAAGGTCCATGTAAGTCTGAGGCTGTTGGTTACTTGTCTAGGGACTCTCTGCTGGTTTCAGGTAGGTCTTTTATTCAGATTGACAGATTGGACCTTTAATGCAGGGTACAAACCAGGACTGTTGAAGAGAGTATGGGACAGTTGGGTACCGATTCCTGCTGGAGTAGGCCTATCCCTTATTGCCTACTTGCAATGGAGAAGATTGGAACGTGAAAAGAATAAAGGTGTTCGAGCAGCTGCACATTGGGAAGTGAGTAGTTTTTTTTAAATACTCATGTATTAAATTATGATGGCTAGAGCAGTATTAAGGTACAAAACTGTGTATCATATTTAAGTAGAGAGAGAGAATCACTTTATTATCATAAAATGGTGCTGCCCAATTACATTGGGTTGCTAAAAACAGCATACTTATTAATCTCTACAGACAATTTTTAAAATAATATATAATTATATAGGATTAACAATATGTATGAGCATAGTATACAATATTCATATATATATATACACACATATATATATATATATATATATATATATATATATATATATATATATATATATATATATATATATATATATATTTATATGTATTATTATTATTATTTTTTTTTTTTATATCCTTTTTTTTCTTTTTTTTTTAACATTTTATTTCCCTTTCTCTCACTTCTCTCTCTTTATCTATATTTTTTTTTTCCTAGACCATATTATTATTATAATTTAGATTCCTAAGAGTTAATTCATTATAATGATCATTATCACTACTTAATGTAGAGTATATGTTTCACATCCAGAATAACTTTGTTATTCCTGGATTAATGAAGTTTTTAAGATTAATTTCAATGTAAAAAACAGATGATTTTATTTTATCTCTACTTTCTATGACCATGAAATTTAAATGTGATCATCTCAAAATTTTCAAAGCTAAATACTTAATTTGTTTTATTATTTTCAACAACTAAATAATTTTAAAATAAAAAGTTAATTTTTTTAATATCTTTTTGCTATTTATTTCAAATGGGAAGTCTTAATATGTAATTTTTATTACTGTTTATGTGAATGAACTCATTGTTTTATTTTAAACATAATTTTCATTTGCCATTGTGATGTTTTATATTAGCTCCACAGTTCTGACATATGTCAGGTCAATGTTCGGTTTACTGTTCATTAAGAGGTGCACTGCTGACTATTTGTTAAGAAGGATTTGATTTTATATTGAACATAAAAATTCATTTGATGTTATATATTTGAAAAAAAAGTACAGTATTTGTCAGTTCTAACTGATTTGGTATTCAGTAATACATTAAGAAAGAGAGAAAATTTCATATGACCAAGTATTTTAAATTGTTGCTGCAAACAGTCTCATCCATGGTGGGGAGACATTTTATAAAGAATGTAAGGTGTTTGATTTATACTCTATTTTATCCTTTTACTTACTCTGCACTTTATGCAGGTGGCAGAATCAGTGTATTTAACAACAAATTGAATTTCTTAAAAATCTTAGTTCCCTAATTAAGAAATATTATGTGATAAGTGACCTTTCCGACGGAGAAAAGACAAAGTTTTTTTTCTCTCTGGTGTCTGATTTCTTATGATTTTATACTTAAGCTTTACATGTTATTACCAATCTTTATAAACATTATTCTCTTTTCAAAAATACTGCTTCACTTTTTTATCTGGTTTCTAAATATTTTCAATTTCTAGATGAATAACATTTTATATTAAAATAGAGTTCGAAGAAAGTGAAAAAAAAATATTGACATTAAAAAAAAGTTTTTGTTTGGGAAACGAGACAATTCGTTTCATTAATGCTTACCCGAGAAAATAAAATATAATTTTAAAATCTATTGAATACTTTTACCAGAGGTCAAAGGCAAAATGCATAAAACTTATATATAATATATATACACACACATGCTCTGTATAGCATTCACAAACTTGGAAAGTGTCTTTAGTGCACTGCCAGATAAACAACAAATCAATTCTTGAATTTGAATTTTGATGATCATGAATTAGAGTAGCATTGTTTGGCCAATATAAATGGTTTAAAATAAACAAGTTCAAACTCTAAAATATTTTTTTTTCAATATTACTTGTTAATACAAAAATGACGGGCCTCTGTTTGAAGAACTATGATCTACATCAGAAGTATTTTTATATATAATAAGAAGTCAATTTTGTTTCCATTTCTTTCTTTTTTTTTATATATTATAGATGTGTATTTTGTTGGTTTCAGGTAAACTGTTACAAAGCTCTGCCTCTCAGGACTTTTTCGAGGGCATTTGGATCTGTATCCGAAACCAAAATTCCAATTAAACTTCGTCCATTTATATATGGCAGCTATGCAAAAGTTTTTGGAGTCAATCTGTCTGAAATATCTGAACCTGTTGACAATTATTCTTCTCTGTGTGAATTTTTTACAAGAAGACTGAAAGCTGGAGTAAGACCTGTCGACCAACATAAAGCAGTAGTAAGTTATTGGTATTTATTTTAACATAATGTAAAACTACCCATATTACTGAACTCTAAAACTTTAATAGAGTATAATATTTATAAGCCTCATATAATTTATTGAAAACATAATGTTCTATTAAATTTCTTTACAATGATTTAATTAGTGTTACTCGCACGCACAAAATAAAAGAACAAAGCAAATACACAGCACTGATATTCTTTTATTAACAATATTATTTTTATAAGCACAAAGCACAATTTAATTTTTGCAAATAAAACTTTTGTTCAATTATATCATATGTTTTAATTATAACATATCTGATTAATGTAGCATCTCGCTATAGCCTCCTAGATTATTCCTACTGTTTCCAACATTCTTCCACCTTTGAGTAGTCCACTCAAACATCATTGCTCATTAATAAGCCGCCCTATAGTCCTTTTTTACCACTATCATAGGTCCTTCTGCACCATCCATATTCACATTATCTTCTTCTCCTCAAGTTTCACTAGTTCTATCCACTCTCCTCTGCAGCTATTTGAAGACAGTAAAATCTTTCACAGGTCTAAAAAGGAGGCCCATTATCTTCAGACTGTTGTAGCTAGATCACTCCCTCCCACCATCTTTCTTGGACTAATTTGTGGCCAATCCAACTGACATGATTTGAATTTAGACTTGTCTCGCATTATCGATGGCGCATTAAGTACTGGAGGTGAAACAATTTTGTGCAGGGGAAGGTTTCATAAATTTTCCTATAACAACCAAGCCTAGTCCCAATAACAACTAGGTCTCCTAAAGATTTAACCTCTCCAGTCAATGGCTTATCAGCCACATATGCACCAATCAGTAATAGTATTTTTTTAGGACCATCTGGGTCTTGTAATCTGAATACCTTGTTCTTTAAAAATGCTTCTAATTTCTTTTGTATTTAACACCTTCACCGCATCACAAATAGTAGGTTGAGTAAGAGCTTCAAAGTTACACCTGAAGGAATTATCCATGCTACACAAATAAATTCGATGAACCTTATACTTTTGTTGCTTGGTTTCTGTACCACCAAACTGTCCATAAACCATTTTTTTTTCCCTCAGTGATATAAAATTCAATTTTTCTGCAAGTCCCTCTGAAATGTATAGCTTTTGTGATCCTGTGTCAATCAAGCATCTGATCACAGTTTCCCCACACAAGCGTAATAATTTTCTAGGCAAAAATGACTCTATCAATGGGTACTAAAAACCAGTGAATTTCTCTTTCGTACGACCTAAATTGTCTAATGCTTTTAAATACTTTTCTAACTTGTCATATAAAGTACATAAGTCCTCATATACTGCACGTTTAACTTCATTTTCCACAACCATAGCTATCAATTCACGTACATACACCTGAACTAGTTTCATGGATAACCATTAACTAATATTCCAGCTTCTGAGTCAGGCACAATACTCTGAATTAAATATTGAAATTTATTCTCTGGAATCAATTATCATCTAAATGAATTTGTTTCAACTGTCGCCAAAAGCTCAACCAATTCTTTAAATCTCCATCAAATTTAGGAATTTCAAGTTTAGGTAACTTATATGATTTATATGAGAACAAATTTATACCTACAACAGAACAAATTTTAGCAGAGGTTTGATGGCCTGAACCAACTTTACTTTGTATTAAAACGTCTACTTTAACACTTTGCTCTATACATCTGCTATTATATGCCTCTGCATCCTCATATTCTTGATTATAAATTTGTTCTGTAACCATTAGTATCAGAAATCATTAATTCATCTTGAACTACACTTAATTTTTTATTCTTTTCAATTAATTGTTATAAATAACTTTTAGTATGTTCAATATTTACCAGCTCCAAATTAAGTTCATGCCCACAACTTATCAGTTAATTTGTGAAAGCAATTCAAATAGGTTTCCTTTTCTTCTTTCATTGATCCATAATTATTAAGAATAGAAAAGTAGCACAAATAATTAATTATTTAAACAAAGACAACTAAAGTCCTGTCACAGTCACCAAAAACTGTTACTCACACGCACAAAATAAAAGAATAAAGCAAATTATTTATGATTTAATTTTTTTTAATGATAATTAATGATTTTGCAATAAACTGAAGTTCTATTCTAGTATATCTGTTGAACAAAAAAAAATTTTTTTCACCATATTTTCATAATAAAAGTTACAGATAATTTATTAGATTTATACATTTTATGTAGTCTTGAAATACATCCAAATTACTTTTCATCACCCTCAACTCTCGCCTCCCCCACAAAAAAATTAATCTTTGTTTTTAAATATGATTTTTTAAGAAGTGAATTTATACAGACTCTAATTTTGTTTCAATAATGCTCACATTGGAAACCATATTGAAAGATTTGATTATGTGATAAACTAATTCCTCATTTTCTTAATAAATGATCTCATAGGCTCGTAAACTAATGCTCAACTTTAAAGGAAAACTGAGAGGGATTATAGTCAACTCCTGGTTATCTATGGGATAGAGGGGTGTAATAGCCTTGGATAATCAAAATTCAATAATAATCCACTGATAAAAGAAAAAAGTAATAGACCCAGTAAAAAATACATTATTTTATTTTTTTACATATTTGTTTCATCTATGTCTCTGTAAATAAGCATCAGGGATAATCTGAAGTTGGCTGTACTTGGTTAATGAAATAAAAATCTTGTTTAAAAAATTCTTGTATCTCATTTTAGTATCTTCCTCAAATGGGAATGAGCTTCAATATTTCTTGTTTGTCTTTGTTTGGTTATAGATATACACAATAAATGCAACATGGTATTAATGTAACTTTCTAAACTACAGAGAAATATTGTTCAACATTTAGTTTCGTATTTTCTTTTTCTTTATTCTATATTGGCTTTGATAAATAGCTACAATTTGATTTGAAACATTTGCCAAATAAAAAATACATTGTAAATTTGAATTTATACTGCCTTAGTTAAAAAGTGTAGCATCTCAAAGATGGACAAAGGTTAATTATTTATGTATTATAATTATATCACAAGACTATGCAATTTAATTTTGTACTGATTTTTAGCGTGTCCATAAAGAAGTCATTTGATTCTCTAAAAAATAAAAAATGTTTGCCTTGCTATGCTTTTGCTCTGAAATAATGGTATTTAGTAGGTCTTGTCTACTTTTGCTTTATTAAAGTTGTGATTTTGATACTCTAATTCATGTTTAGTTTAAAAGTAAAAATTATATTTATATTACAAGTTTAAAAGTACTTTGATTTTTAATATAAATTTTCTGTTATTGTTGTCTCTTTGATTCAATATTTTTAATTATTCAAAATGCTGAAATTTTACATAATAAGCAATTCACATTTTATTTATTTACTTGTGTACATAAATAATAATGTATGTATATATTTTTTTTCTTGAAAGGTCGCTAAAGGTTCAAATTAGTAAAGTTTATCAACTGTAAAGTTCTTCAAAATCTAGTATGATATTTCAGTTTTTTAACTGTTTTTCATATTTCTTTTATCATTATACCAAACTTAAAAAATTATGGCTTGAAACAGGTGTATTACCAATTCTTTGTTTGTTTTAGTTACTTTTTTTTAAATGAGAATGCTTTATATATAATTTTTATAGCCATCTTGGAAATAGATAACTTCTTTAAACTTGCAACAAATATTGGAAAATCCCTAAAATGTTTTTTATGTTGCCTTAACAGCATTATTAATGATTCTTTTAATAATAATTCACTAAATGTGCTACATATAATCATACTAAATCTTGTATTTAAATAAGTCATTATTAATACTTATCTATTTTAAAATTAATATATTGTTAATTTTAAAAAATAAATAGTTTAATAATACTATGTTTAGTATTTATTTCAATTTTAGTTTATGATTTTCATATTTAAAAAAAAAAATGAAGAGGGTGAGAATATTCCACTTCAAAATACATTAATTTTTCTTTTATACATTTTCATTTAAATGAAAATTTTATCTTCTCCTATTTAAACTTAAATTTTTATTCAAGTTTTTTTTTATAATTGGGGTGTAAAATTTAAAAAACAACCTACTCCATTTTCAATTTTTTTTCTTTCATTAATTTTTAATTAACAATTTTAGTTCTAGATGATCATGCGGTAAAAAAATAAAATGTTGATTATATTTAATAAATGTTAACTGTTTGTAAATACTACATTTTCCTGCATTTTAAATAGAAATATAGTTTATTTAAAAAATTGAAATTAAAAAATATCAGATGATAAATAAATTAAAATTTCTTGAGAAACTTAATGATTTATTATTTATTGTAAATAATTATAGTTGCAAGAATAATAAATTATTTTCTTAAAATATATCTGCCTTTGAGATAATCAATACACTAAATAAAAATATATTATATTAACAAATGGACAGTGGGTTTATTTTTGCTTTTTATCACCAGAATTGTATTAAATATTGAAAATTATTATTAATTCATTATAAAATTTTAACAATTATATACCTAATAAGTCAAACTACCACTGTTCCAAGTTTTTTTTTATTTGGTGGTATTATGTACTTTTGGATTATAATATTTATGTTCCCACTTTATGATTCTGTAAATATATTCTCTAATCATATTAAAACTGTTAATTTATTTCCTTTCCAGTTATCTTTTATTTTTTTAAATTTATGTAATGAATCTACTTGTAACTCCATACTATCAGGTTCTTATCCCTCCCATACTCGGTTTCCAAATCAACAAATTTTATTTATTTTTTTTAGGAAAGAAACTAACTGTTATAAAAAGGAAATTTTTCTGCCTAATATTAAAAACTTTAGATAAGCACTCTTACTTGAAGTGGAATAATAAAAGTCTCTCTATTTCTCAATGATATAGATATTATTTGACTGCATCGTCCAACCAACTCCTTCTCGTCTCTATTTCTCATTGATAATTAACTTTTTAAAAATAAGGTATGATGAAGTAATATGTGAGTAATCTACAGACATAGTATGAGTTATGAGTTTATGGTTTCTTTAAGATTTGGGAATATATTCCTGTGAAGTTCTTATATTGATTGGTACATAAATATTATAATTAAGAAAATTAAAGAATTTAATTGACAGTGTATCACAAAATTTTAATACATTTTTTAAAAATAAAACAAAGCTTTAGATTCAAGATTTAAACTACCATAGGTATTATTCAGCATTATCAAAGCGAAGAGTCACTTTTTTAAATGTATCTGTTTCTAATATGTTTGAGTATTTGAAAAACTTTTATTGGTTACAACTACTATCTATGATGAATATAATGTTCTGTAGTGCAGACATTTTTTTATCAAATTATCAACATCCATCCAAAATTTTGTGAATGGTTTCATCTCATTTTAACCTACAATTTTTCATCTATGAAAATTCTCAGAAATAAGTGTGTTTTCTCATTAAATTAGAGGTACTGAAAACTCATTTTTTCCCCACTTGAATCATAAGATAGCATGTCCACAAAATTGAAATAAAAAGTGACCTTTAAAAATATTGAGCCATTTGGCCTATATAACCTCGTTATTTTCACATGTTGGAGATCACACCGAACGGCCTAAAATTTCTGTAGGCCTCTTTTTTTTCTGGATTTTGTTATCAGATTATCTTAGGATTCAAGTGAAAAGCAAATGAGTGTTTATGATTTTTTAGTTCCTCATTTAATAGACAAAAGTTTATCGATATCCAGATCGAAAACTTGAAAGCCCCATTAATGAGAATTTTCATAAATAAGAAAGTGTTTTGTTACAATAAGATGAAGTCACTCACTAAGTTTTAGGTTGATGTTAATAATTTGATGAAAAAAAAGGGGTCAGTACCACGGACAATAAGCATATTTAGTTGTATGGAAATATTTTTTTGGGATAACTGGGTTTATTTACATAAAAAGTCACACTCAGAGGGGGCAGTTGTTTGTTTGGTGTGGTCAACTGCCTCCTGCATAATCTGGAACTGTTCCAGTGGTTTCCATTATATTGCTTTTTCACCTGGCCTACTTGGGTATGCGGATCTTATTAGCTGGAGTTGAGCTTACTATAACACTGGCTGATTCTTTTAATCCTTTGTTCCTGGTGATCTGACATTGATAGCTGTGGTTCTTGCTTTTACAATGTCCTCAGCTTCAGGTAAACTTGAGAATTCGGTAAATGTAAACATTTTAATATTTATTAATTAAATTTGTATGCCATTTCCTTAATTAATGAACACAGTGACAAATAACTCAGAGGAAGTTGCATTTACCAATTTGATGAAACTTGTATGTAAGTAAACCCATGAAAAATATTTAACATGTATTTTTATTTTTTTACTGACACTAAGTTTCACTTTATAACATGAAAAAGGTTCCTTGAAAGTAAAACTGTATTAAATTAAAAATTATATTAGTTAAAATGAATTGAAAGTTTGAAAGGTAAAAAGGGTTATTAGGGTTTGGGTTAATGATGAAACTAAATCTTTTCTCATAATTATAAGAAGTATCAAAATTTTAGATTTTAGATTATATAGTCCCCATATGACAGTTTAGATATTGTGTCTTGTTACCTTTCATTTTTCATACTTCAAAATGTTTGTAGATTTTAATTTCTGTAAAAAAAATAATAAATATAGTGAAGTACTATAGTATAAATCATGTACTACATTCAAAAAAACTTGAAGTGGTACATAAATTACAAATTTAAAACAGTTAATAATTTTTAATTTATTTCACATAATATATTAAATTCATTGAGTAATTATCAGCTTTCAGAATGAAAAAATCCTAATACAAAATTGAAAAAGATAAAATTTAAAAAAAAAATACAGGTTTCAAATATTTTTCATAGTTTTACAAATATTATTTGTTTCTTTTATTCATTTATGCAATTGGTGATACTTCCATTGGTTTCCCTGTGTGTATAAGTAATATAAAATATGCTACTACTTTTAAACCAGTTTTTTTGTCATTGGCTGTCATAAATACTACAGAAATATGAACAATTTTTGCTTTGAACCTGTTTCGTTAAAGACAGAAACATTACCCATGGGTAGACTAAATTATCATTTTATTATTTATTAATAACTTTTTTCTCATTTAACCTTCTTATTTAATTGTATTTCATTATCTTGATTGCTATGAGTATCTGACTGAGATAATACATTTTATCTGGATTATGTTACTATGATTCTGAGAAATTTTGTTTCTTGTTATCTTTCTATTTACATCTTTTGTGTTTCTTGTATTAAATTAAATGTAATTTCTTTCTTTTAGTGTTTAATAGAAATTTCAATATCAGACAATATTTTAAAAACTACTTTAATTTGTAATTTTATGTATATTTATTTATTTTTTCACCTGGATCTATTTCAATGTATTTATTACTTAAGAATGCGAAAATAGTTTAATAAACATTTTCTAAATGCTTCTAAGTTTTAATTTGTTTTAAATCTTTAAATTTATATTGTAAACATTTCCTATTTAAATGAATAGATTTTTTATTTTTTGGTGGGATATTTAAGATTAATATTTTATGTTTTTTAAATATTTCTCTTTTTGGATTGAAGTTACACTACTAATCCTTCTGGGATGTTTTCTGTTTATGACTTGAGTAACAGATGTGTAAACTGGTCGAAATCCGCTTAGTTTTGAATGCTCATGAAGCCTCATGCAATCACGCTTTTTCCTATATTTTAATACATTCATATTCTATCTTTACTTATGAAATGTAGAATATTTTTATCTATAATTGTTTTATTTAGTAATTCCCCTTTGTATTATTCAGGCTCTGGGAAATGATTAAAGAAATTTGCTGCTTCACTAATAATAATTATTTAGCATAATGCTTTTTCTTATCTCTCATTCTAACGATCTTCTATCTCTAACATTTTAACCTTACTTCTGTAAACTATTACTTTTCATTTTGATTGATGCAGACATATTAATGTTGTATTGCAGGTTTCGCCAGCGGATGGTACTGTGATGAATGCTGGAAAAGTAAATTCTTTTCAAGTGGAACAAGTAAAGGGGATTACTTATTCTTTGAAAGCTTTCCTCGGTGACATCTCATGGAAGGATAATGAAAAGCAGATAGTAAGAGATATCAACTGCAATGAAGTTGTATATGCAAAGTAAGTTTATTTTAGTTAAGTATATTTCCATTATTTTACAAGACACTGAAGTAAGAGATATGGGACGATAGCTATCAATTAGTTGTGAGTCTTTGTTAGGTTTTGGAATAAATATGACTTCTGCTGTTTTCCAAGAATCGGGAAATCTTTGCTCTTCCCATAGTCTATTAATTAAACCTAGGAATAATATAAAGGGCTAGGGTAGCCATGTGGGCTAAGGAGCTTGCAATAGGTTATCAAAGTTAAGCAACGCCGAGCGTGGTTAGCACTAGGATGGGTGACTGTCCATCAGAGAAAGCCATGCTGCCCGAGATCTCCCTCCCCCGGTATGTGAGGCCTGTCAGCCTACAGGAGGCAACTCACATAGACCGGACGTAAGACCGATGACATTACCCCCGTGTACTTAAATCGGGAATCGGGATGTGGTCTAGGAGACCACATCTCATGGTCAAAGATCTTAATGGCCTGTAGCGCCAAGAGAAAAAAAAAAAGAAAGAAAGAAATAATATTAATATTTGGAAAGGCATATTTTTAAAAAGTTTAAATGAATATTATCTGGACCTGGAGTAGTTGATTTTGAGGGATTAATTATGAATTAGAGTTCTTCAATGGTAAATTTGTTGTTATAAGGTTCTTGATTTAGGCAAATAGGGTTTTCCATTTTATAATAATTTTGAATATCAATATTTGGATAACTGCCACGAGAGGCATTGGAAAAAAAATTTGCCCGTTAATTTAATACTACCATATTTTAATTTAGATGGAAAACCATGAGAAGATTTGCCACATATTTGTTTAATTTTATTCCATAGTATTGATAAAGGTTTCGAATATGTTATGGATGAAAATAAATTTGCCATGATTGCTTTATTGTCCATCTTGCTACAGTCCTAGCTTTTTGAAATTTCACATGATTTTCTAAATTAGGGTGTCGTTTCAGATATTTCAAAGCCCTATTCATTTCCTTAATGACCAATCAGCATTGTGGTGTCCACCAAGGTACGTGTCTTTTTATGTGTTTATGGTTTTGTTTTTGGTATAATCTTTTCAGCTACTTGGAGAGCAATGAATTCATAAATAAGTCAATAGCATTGGCGGAATTGATACTAATTTGAAATTCCGAATTGATGCTAGAACAATTTTGCTCAAATCTTTCCCAGTTAACATTTTTAAAATTCCATTTTTCTCTCAAAGTTGTTATTTCGTGAGACACCTATAATGAAATAACGATTGGGAAATGATCGCTGCTAGGTAAATCATTGTATAAGTATACCAAAGGCGCTAAAAGGAAAACTATGAGAAGACAACACAAGATGTAATATGGACCAGGTTCTGTGAGTTCTGCTATAAAAAGTTTGTTGAGGTGGATTATGAATAAGGAGGTTATGCGCATCAATTAATTTTTCAAAATCAAAATGTGCATTTATGTCTCCAATCAATAGAAATGGGAGAGGTAATTGATTAACAATAGCATCTATGTTGGAATATAATATATTTTCGTTTGGTAAAAGATATAAGCAACAAATTGAAAACGATGTGGATAAGTGGATAGTCACTGCAACAGCTGAAAGTGGTGAATTTAAACTGATTTCAGTGACATTGATATTTTTGTTGAATCCTAAAAGAACACCACCTCTATTATTTTCTGATCGATGTTTGTGAATAAGATTATAACTGGGTAAAACATTTTTGTTAGATTTTAAGTTTGTTTCCTGTAATGAAATGATAGCTGGTTTGTAATGAGACATCAATAGACTAAGTTCTTCGTATTTTGAAAATAAACTAAACCTTCACAATTCCAATTTAAAATAATCATATTGTTTTGTAATTATTAAATTTTTTTTGTCAATTTGTATGTATCGATTTAACAGCTGTTATATTGATAACATAGTTGATATCTTGGTAAAACGACCTTTAATGCCTTTATTTTGAAGATGCGGATATAATTCGGACATTTGAACTACAATGTTTAAATCTTCTGTAAACTGTAAAGCAGTTGTGTCTGGGTCTTGATTGATCAAAGGAAAGAACATATTTTTTAGGATTCTTATGCATTATGGTTTTTAGTAGTGTTAATTGGCTGATTATGGTATCGGTAGTCTCAGTACTATTTAATTTGGGACCAGATAAATCTGGCTGAGCATCCGATACAGTAGTGCTGCTTTTATTTATTATACTAGTATTTTTATCAAAGGGTTCATTAACTGGGGTTATTAATGTGAAATTTTGAATTGGATTGAGGTTAGAAATTTCTGGTTGACATACGAGGTTGGTCTAAAAAGTTTCTTACCTAACAAAAATACAAGAATTTTTTTTTTTTTCAATGTAGTCTCCTTGTAACTCTACACATTTCTCCCAGCGATGCACTACTCCTCAAACCTGATAATAGTTTGACATTTAAAGCTAATAAAACTTCTTCAATGATGGAGTGAGGAACGCTTGGACCGATATTTGAAATAATAAATCTCTCTGCTGGAAGATTGACTGATTTTCTTATTGTAATTTGTTCTTCCCCTATCTTAATATTTTGGTTATGGGTGACTATCTGATCCACGAGTTGTTTTGAGGTTAGGTAAACTACATAACAGTTATTGGATATTCATCTGACAAAAAGAATGTCAGGCCAACTATTTCTGATATTTTTTCAATATACGTCTGTTGGGGAACCCTATTAAGTGAGCTGAATTCTATTCCCTGTTCCTTACTAGGGTGTTTAGCGGGATTTTTGATATTATGGAAGCAAAACTTTTATCTTCAGTTTTGCGACTTCTTGAATTAGTCTGATCCATTTTTTATCTTTCTGGTCAAAAAAACTATGTAAATATCCGCAAAGTAAGCTATTTTACACTAAAAAACACTAGAGCTATACAGAGGTTAACTTTAAGCTACAAGGTTGCCATATGTTTTCTTCATTACCAGTTAATAAAATATAGTGCAATGATTGTTATGTAACCATTGTTTCTTTATGAGTTTATTTTTGTATTTTCAGAGAAACTAAGACTCCTGACAATTGGATAGCATACAAAAAGAGTTTGCTTCATGATCCTATAAAAAATGATCTTTATCAATGTGTGATTTACCTTGCACCTGGTGACTATCATCGCTTCCACAGCCCTGCTGATTGGCACGTTTCATTCAGAAGGCATTTTCAAGGTTTGTTTGATGACATTTTCTTTAATTGTTTAAACAAAATTTTTTTAAAATTATTCTCTTTATCGACTTCCGAGATCAGAGATCATGCAACCCAGTACCTCTATACACAAAAATTCTTAAAAAGATGTTAAACATTAAATAATTATTTGTCATATTTTCCTTCCAAATAATAGACTTCATTAATACTGTATTAAAGGTTTTAGAAGAGGAGAGTGGGTGGGGATACATTTAAATTTTTTTTTTGTTATCCCCCACCTAGCCTTTTGTTATACTGCGTTTAACCAGGATGATTAATACCGTAGTTAAAAAAACGGGTACTAAAACTCCTAATCTTCAGTTCATCAGATTGCCAGGCAAGGTGTGTTTTGGACATTTATTAGCCTTCCCTTCCCCTTTGTACATTTTAAATCTGTTTCATAACCTCTAGATTTAGAAAATAAAGTATTGCGTAGAATATTCGGACCGAAAAAAGATGAGTTAACCGGAGAGTTCAGACGGTTATACAACGCAGAATTGTGTGAACTGTATCCGTGTAATATAAGAGGTAATTTCATTGCGACGAATCAAATGAGATTGTAAAATTGTTGGGCTTAGTATCGAGAGAATTCCTAAAAGATTAATATTTGCTGTACCTAATGGTAAATGTCCGAGGGGTAGACCGAAGCGAAGGTGGGAAGATTGCATTAAAGCCGATCTGAAGGGACTAGGTTCGGACGGTGGAGAGAGGTGTGTAAAAAGTGATTGGTGGTGTCGGCATCGAACCTTCGGGTTCGCTAAGTCTTTTATTATTGTTATTTATTATTTTATTATTATTATTATTGTTCATAACCTATAGAACATGTGTTTTTCGGATTGGGGATGGGAGGTTGGTTCTTTTATAAATATGTACAATTTTTTCTCTCCTACCAAGTTTAGAAAATTCTATGGGCATACCCTTTGGACCCAATGGACTGAAATTCGCTGTGCACCATTCTTTTATAGAACAGTACCTTAGAAGTAGGAGTAAATTTCAACAATTCCAAAGTTTTTTTCATGGTTTTTCTTGGATCTTAAGGTTTCAAACTCTTAAGGCTCCTAAACACAGAGTGTGATGTGGCAAAACAGTTGCATTACTATATTTTTTTTTATTAGAGAAGTGCCTTTTGAGCTCTCACCTTATTTTTCATCTCCTAATTTGGATAAATTAAATTCGGAAACAAATTATATAATGTTCAAAAACTAAGAATCAGAAAGAAGTGCAGGAGATAAATTGATTTTATAAATTTTCATTTGTTTTCCAAACAAAATTAACGCTAAATTTATTTTTGATGTATCTCTATTCCTTTTGTTTTTATTTTAGGTGAGTTATTGAGTGTAAACCCATCAGTTGCTCAATGGATTCCTGGATTATTTGTACTTAATGAAAGAGCATTATATGTTGGTACATGGCAATATGGATACTTTAGTATGACTGCTGTAGGAGCCACAAATGTTGGATCTATTAGAGTTTATGACGATAAGGTACGTATTTATAAGATAAAAAAGCTTACTGGAAAGTTTCAGTATTTTTATTTTTATTTATGAATTACTATCAATTATAGTTTGTATGAAGAATAAATTGGTTATTCATACGCGAGATATGAATTTACATATTTATATGAATTAAGATGCAATTAGCACTGAAATTGGAGAATGGCTCAATTTGTCCTCAAAAAGGAAGGCAGATTCTAGAAGTAATCAATAACAATGAAGTTGAAATAGTTTTTCATCTACACATTATTCCTGTAAATTGTCATATGTTGAAATAATAATAATAATAAAAGGCTTAGCGAACCCGAAGGTTCGATGCCGACACCACCAATCGCTTATTACACAGCTCCCTCCACCGTTCGCCGTCCAAACCCAGTCCCTTCAGATCGGCTTTAATGCAATCTTCCCACCTTCGCTTCGGTCTACCCCTCGGACGCTTACCATTTGGCACAGCAAATATTAATCTTTTAGGAATTCTCTCGTTACTAAGCCCAACAACTTTACAAGCCCATTTGATTCGCCGTGACGAAATTACCTCAATTATATTACCCGGATACAGTTCATGCAATTCGGCGTTGTGTAACCGTCTGAACTCTCCGGTTAACTCATCCTTCAATCCGAATATTCTATGCAATACTTTATTTTCAAAAACCTTAAGACGCTGCTCATCCCTTAATGTAAGCGGCCAAGTTTCGCATCCATAAAGAACTGTAGGGAAGATTATTGTTTTATAGATTCTAATTTTTAAGTTCCGGGACAAAAAGCGCGAACTGAGTAGTTTTGTCACAGAAAAATAACAAGCATTTCCCGCCTTCAGTCTGGCATTAATCTCTTCTTCAATTCTCGTTTTTTCTAGTTATTGTAAACCTAGATACCTAAATTTATCTACCTGTTCAAACATATTACCATCTATATCGATACCACCAGTAGTATCGCCATTTTTGCAGCTAACCATATATTTTGTTTTATCTACGTTTATTTCGAGTCCTAGTTTTTTACTGGCTTTCATTAACGTTATCGTATTTAGTTTTATAGTTTCAACGTCTTCGCTTAACAGTACAACATATGTTGAAAACTACTTTTAATTATTTGTTTGAGGAGGTTGTTGAAGATATATTATAGTCCTAAAATACATCATTTTTCAAGCCCATTTAACATGAAAGAAAGGAGGATATTTCTTTTGAAGATCTTTAAAAGTTAGTTTTAATAATATTCTGGTGTCTCCATACAGGTCTTACCTGCACAAAGACACTTTTAGAATTCCTTTTCCACATAGTTAGCAGACCTCTAATTATTGTGGACGGGCATAATAATCTAACAATTTATCGCTCTGAAACCCCATCCCTACCTACTCCAATTATTTTTTATTATGCTCCTCAGATAGAAAATGGAGATTATCTGTGTGTATACTTATATCCAACCATCATCAATTAACGTTGTTTGTCAAACAATATCGCATCTATTCGCTTAGCTTTCTTATTTGATATTCCAGTTCTGTGCTTCTTCTTTTTTCTCACCCTACCTATGCTATTCTAGTATACAGTTTTTCAGCAGCAGTAATGTAGTGTGCATGTCATTGCTGCTGATATAACTCTCTTTGTTTCATTGCTTGCTCTTTATTAGTATACATGGTTAGGGTAAAGATGTGTGTATGTATTTCGGGAAAAATAAAACAAAATACTCAGTGGTCCAGCCCGGTGCAAAACTGCCAACCTCTGGTAAGGCTACAATTTATCCTCCTTATAGACCTTTCAACCCACCTACTGGGATGGCTATCAATCATCCTGGTCTTCTTTCCTCCTTCCAACTCTCCATGTCTATTACTCCTCCAGCTCTTTCATATCTGTTGGTCATTGCGGTGTCAATTCTTCCCGATCTGCCTCTTCCGCTTCCTTTAGCGGGGCCTCCGCTTTTCATGCGGGGCCTCCTCTCCCCAGCATGAAGCACATCCGGCCCACCATTATCTTCCACTTCATCAGTGGGGAGATAGTTATTCTTTCCCATTAGTCCAGAGAAATCTTTTCCAAGATTGTTTAACCTAATCTCCCTGTACAGCCAGGCCACGGTTTCAGTCCATATCTGTGCAGGGGATGGGGTGGCCGAGTGGTCTAACCCATGCGCACAGCAGGTTGCTCGGCAACCTGATCAAAGAATAATTTGATAAAATAAGTATGAGTTCATGTCCTGGTGCCGGGAGGTCTATTAACTCTATCATTAATCCCCACACTTAACCCCTGGCCCACGAAAAACCCCATATAGCCTAAAAGGTGAGGAAAGGGAGGACAAAAAAAAAGTCCATATCTGTGCAAGTCAACATGGTGTGTTTGGCTATTTGAACCCTACTTGTGGAACAACAGTGGCCTATATTTTTTCCACCCCATTCTGTATCATCATTTTAGAAAAACTAATAGCACCATTACTTATATAAGACACAATGTCAATATTGTATGATGCGGGGTGGCCAAGCGGGCTAACACTTGTGCACAGCTCCATGCGTTGCCCAGCAACCTGATAACCGATTGTTATACATGATAAAATAACCACGAGTTCACGTTCCAGTTCCAGGGAGGACTTTTAACTCTGGCATTAATATCCCACCCTCACTCCCTGACCTGGGAAAATCCCATATAGCCTAAAAGGCGAGGATGGGAAGTGCAAAAAAAAAAAACATGTCAATATTGTAAGTTAGATGTTAATATTTTTTTAGCATTAATAGGATTATGTTTTTTATAATTTCTTATATCATATTTTTTAGTCTCTTCATACCAATATGAAGAGGTGTGATAATAAAGCGGATGCGAACTTAGATCTCAATTGGAAGAAAGGAGATGAAATTGGAGAGTTTCGATTGGGATCAACAATAGTTTTGCTGTTTGAAGCTCCAAAAGACTTTCAGGTACAGATTAGTCCAATGCAAAGGGTACAAGTTGGTAAAGGCATAACAGTTTGACTGCTGTAACATTAGTTTTAAAAATTAATATGACTGTTTTGTAAATATTTATATATTGTTTACGGAAGTTAAAAACATTATTTAAAAAAAAACCTTTATAACCATCCTGTTAATTTATTGGTAATCATATAATATGAAATCTTCTTTTAGTCAAGAAACAAATTTTTCCGATTAGATCTGTTTATTAGTTCTAGAGGAACTATCCTCTAGATTAAATATTTTCTTGAAAGAACTATTATAATTGGTGCTGAATTGTCGCTGTACAAAAATATATTGCTCCCTCCATTGGCCTCTGAATTTTTATTAATCAATTTCAAAATTTAGCCTTTTCTTTGGCTAAAAGCTTTCATAACACATAAAATATTATATTTTGACAGCTATTAAATAAATTTAACCTAATAGTATTTGTGATGAACCATTAAAAGTATTTCTTAAATTTTATTTTATATATTCAATAATTAAATTAAATTATATTCTTACATAATGTGCTGAAGTATTTTTACCATGGTGTTTTAAGTTCAGTTATTTCATCAATTATTAGTTATTGTAGTTTAAATAATGTTCCTTTCAATTATTGAATTTCTAGAGCGTATTTGATTTTTAATCTTCCAGCTATTTATGTATTTATTAAATGCGTTAAAATATGTACTGAATATAAATCTAGCTTGAAGAATTATTAAATTGTTAAATGAATTGAATTTTTATTGTAATCTTGTTTGAAATATAAGTAGATTTATTTGCATTTATATTTTTATATGTAAAACAATTGTTAGTGAAAAATTGTGGTATTTCTTCCTCTGTATCTTTTTTTTTTAGATAATGTCATATCATTACGTTTTCTAGCATTGAATAAAATGCTGTAAACATCATGACATCCTATTTTTTATTTTTTGGTTTAATGATTGTTTATGGAGTAATTAATCTTAATATTTTTATAATAAGGCCAATGATCATTAAGTTTTAATTAGAAAGGTATATTCTTGAGAAGACAATAAAATAAAATTAATATATTATTTTGCTTATTCAATATAATACATTTTTGACTTATTATTAATGGAATTGAAAGTTTTACTTACAGATGGCTTTAAATCAACTTATTGGATAATTTTTAATAGAGCCAATAATAATTTTGTCACATTACTAACTAAAATTTTAGTAAGCCTACTGAAGCAACATACCCCTTACATTAAGACTTACAAAGTTCTTGATTGTAAAACATAAGTTGAAAAAAGCACTTATGAGGTGTTTTAGACATTTATTAAAATTGTTCCATAATATTAAAATATTTAAATTATTGGATTGTATTACAATCATTATTAAATCTATTGACCTGTAAATATAGAAAATAAACATTGTAAATAAAAAATATTGAGAGGAAAAAGCTGATAAAAGTCCAAAAATATCTAAATCCCATAAATAGTGCAATAATGATATTGGATGTACATATTGATAATTTTATTCTGCTTTATAAATGATGAATGTATCCATTATTTTACTGAAAACATTTTTGATGATGAGCACATTCCATTAAATATTTTCATTCAATTAGCATATTATTCAATGTTGTGTGAGTGAACAATCATTAAAATAAATGTTTTTTCAAGTAAGGGAGTAATGTTGTGTGGTTTATTTAATTTTAATTTTTTTTAAGAATAAAAAGCTACAGATTAATATTAATAAGAATAAGTTTATTCACAGTGGCATGGCCATTTTGTGAGTCAGTCTAATGTTCTTTGTAGATTTTGTACTTTATATAATTTTTAAATAAAAGTCATAATATTTATCATACGTCTATTTTTTAAAATTTGAATACCAGTAAATGTATAAAAAATTCAATTTATTGTAAAAGAAACAATATTTTCATACTTGTAAATAGAATTTTTATCTCAGTTTTAATTAGTTATATAATTTATGATTTATGTTCCTTTTGTTGTTATAAAATGTTTGAAGTAAATAAATTTAGTATGATTCATGTTGATCTTAAATTGAATGTTGTTAAAGTTTTGGTGTATAGCATTAAAATTGTGTGAGTATAATAATCATAGAACTGTAATTCTCAAAGAAAAAAGTCTGTTTTTTTTTTTTCTTGAAATTTATTTCTAAGTCATCAAAGAAATAATATTTTATTCGTTTGTTACTAATTATATCACTTACTTAAAATTTAGCTTAACAAAAACTTTTGTTTTCCCACTGTTTCTTTAAAGATATGTAAGCTAGCATATATTAATTTTTCTTTTATTTAAAAACAAAATTTTGTACAATATTCATGACATTCTCTTTTCAATAAAGATTAATATGAATCAAAAACTTATGAATGTTTGTTATAATTCAACAGATATGATAACAATAATTTTATCATATTTATATATTATTTTTATTTTAATTAATTAATTTAGTTATTTGTTTGTTAGTACTGACAAACTTTTGACATAACACAACTACAGCACAAAAACTTTTATTTTGTTTTAAAATTATAACTTTTGTTTGTTATTACTGACAAACTTTTGACATAACACAACTACAGCACAAACTTACTTTTATTTTGTGTTTAAATTATAACTAAGTTTAAAAGTTAGTTATCAGTTCTGTTTTTTTTTTTTTGTTTTTTTTTTCAATTTCCTCGTGTTTAGTGATTATAAAATGTTTTGTAATGATTTGAGAATGAAGGCTCAAATATATTTTGTTCTTGTGAACAATGTTTGGTAGATACCAAATTAAATGTAATTGGTAATATTAGTACAAATATTAGATGAATACGTGCCAATTCATTTAAATATTGGTAAATTTTTTATGTAGTGAGATTTAATTTATATGATTGGTGTCTCAGTTCTCCTGTGATATAGTTAATATAGTTACATGTAATTTTGTATGGAGAAATAAATTACTTATAAAAATTAAATTTTTGTTCAATTTGTAACCATCACATTATTCTTAATCCTCAGTTAGGCACATATTGTCTGTAAGATGAACTTCTTAGTTTTTTCGTGTGCCTTCAGGGTAGAGTTTGCCGTAAATGGGTTAAGGTCCATAATACCTTTCTGATTTGATTTTCAAAATTATTCTAATTAGTGATGTTTTTTTTTTTTTAATTTTTGTTATTATTAGACTTAAAATACTTACCAAATCAATGCTATATAAAACAAAATACTTAATTTAGAAAAAATATTAAGTGTGTAAAAGGTATAATTTTGATAAGTTTAACCATTCATTTGAGCTCCAATAATTGTTCCACACTGAAATTGATCTTGTCCCTCACATCTCGGGAGTATCGAGAATTCAATTCTCACTATGATCAGTCAATATTTATGTCCTCGTAGTCCTCCAAAGTAAAGCTTCGCTATCAATAAACTCTGAATGGTTGTTAATAAAATACAGGACCTTTTATTGGACTAATTCTCCTCCACTGATATTACTCATTTATGATTGGAAAAAAACATGGTAGGAAATATATAATTTCTATTATAAAAGGTATTAAATATACTAAATGCACATATTATAATGAATATAAAAAGTACAAAAGTAAATTACTAGATCTATCATTCAGTATAATCATAAATTTGAGTTTCATATTTTAAATGTAAGCTAAAGAATGATTTTTCTACTAATTATTTTGATATAGAGTTAAAATTTCATGTGTCCCATTAATAGAAAATGTTCAAATATGATACATTTGGTCTTTTTACCTCCCTTTGTCAAGATAATCAACACCAGCTTTTCATGATCATGTGAAGGTAGGATTTCCCACTGGATCTGTTAATATTTATTTTTTGGTGATCCAAAAAATTGACCTAGATATTCAATATTGAGCTACACTCTTTGTGGGCAAGAAGGCCCACTGTCTAGACTTTTTAAGTTTATTTGAGGGCAATGGAAGGTGAAAGGGACAGGAAAACTATGCTTGCACTCACTGGCAAAATTTGTGGTCCTAGTCCTGGTTTTCCCTACCAATACCAGCACTCTTAGAATAAAAATTATCAATATTGGTAAAAAAAAAGAAAATAGAGTCATGTGTTAGTAAAAATTATAATTGTTCTGAATAGAAAAATACAATTGTCAGTAAATAATTTATAAAAATATATAAATTTCATCTGGTAAACATATTCAGTTATTTATTTTTGATGAAATACCATTATATTCTAGGTTAAATTAAAAATATATAATAGATATCAAAAATAGGCAGATAGTCATGTGTAGATAAAAATTATCCATGTTCCTAAGTTATGTATAGTCCAGAAATAATATTCAAATAAGAAAAAAATACCTATTAAATATTTACTTATTTAAATAAGCCCTGGATTTCCTCA